GTAATTTTACAGTCTTTATTTTACAGTTAAAATAAATGTTTGTCAAATAAGTTCTAATGTTACAATTGATCAGGGATCGCTTTAAAATGATGATTAAGAGAAATGCACTTGTACGCTTCTGAATAAATCAATAGGGACGTCCCGATCAGATACTCAGTATTGGTGGCAGATATGGCTATTTTTTGAAAATCGGGTAGAATTGGGTTTAGTCATGTGATCGGGCCAATCCAGTTTCCGYGACAGTTTTCAGCATCATCATGCTTTACAACTGCCGTTAAAAAAGTCAAGACGCACACAAGTATACAACCATGCCCACAGTGTGGGAACACTTTTCAATGGAAAACAATGATGCTGAAACTGCATCTTGAAAAATCTGCTAACTGGATGTTTCTCGTGGTGGGAACAGCAGGGCTCGCTTTAATAATACCAACCTTGTCACTTGGAAAGAAATAAAGAAATAAAGCTATCGGATCGATATCGGAAAGATTAATCATTAAAAAAAATCGGATTGTATCGGGAGCCAAAAAAATCTGGATGGGGACATCCCTATAAAACAGTTACTCTGTGTTCTAAAATTATACTTACAAATCAGTGAAACTAACTCTCCTTTTAATGGGTTAAATAATAAACTGTGAGTTAAATATGCCACAGGCTCATTTGATAGTGAAAATGCATCGAACGCAACAATACGTCATCGCGTGCTGCACCCACTCCGACGTCGCCCCTCCCTACCTGCGACTGGTAGTGCGGCATCTGCTGAACGAGCGGCTGACTGGTGAACTGCTGCGGGCTGCAGGTGAAGTACTGCGCAGAGTAGGCCGGGTTCGGAGCTACGATGGGCGGACCCGCGGCCGTCGCCGGGTGCATCATGGTGGGCGTTCCGGGCGGGTGGTGCTGGTCGGACCTCTGCTGGGGCATGTTGGGTACTAAAGATATACGTCGGGAATCAAAATCAAAACCTGGTTAGAAAAAAACAAAAAACAAAAAAACAATGGATTTTCTTTTCCTAATCCTGCACACAGAAAATTATCTGAGACAGAAGCTAAAATTCAAACGATTCTGTTTTCTAGCTTTAACATCATCAACCCTCACTTTTTGAAGACGGGGACTAATGAGAGACTCACTCATCTAATTTCAGAAGAGGCGATGATTTCATTCAGACTTCTGTTTGCTCCGTGATATTCTGTGAACTGTAACGTCTACTAGCTACTGAAAATCTTTCTCTAGGAACAAAATACGTAAAAATAGCCAAAAACTAGAAGCACTCGGAGAGTGCAAACCTCCGCCAAGACCAATTTCCCCCATCCTGTAAGAGTTAATGCACAAAAGCAGAGATGGAAACACATTTGCCGAATAAGTCCTGACGTAGCGAACATTTAAGCAGGCAGTATGCWYGGRATTTCTTCTCGGTGGAGTCCAATGTTAAAAAAAAAGTCAGACTCGTCACCYGACRTTATTCATCATCAAACTGGTGCCGGATTAAGCTCCTAAGTTTTCATCAGTCACATTTCACCTTGTAAAACATCTGTTTTATCCCCTTGTATGAGTTTGTAATGGTTTGACTCTCTTTATAAAGTGCTTCCTGTCACCCCCGTCTCAAAACTTTGAGGCCCAGCAGCTCTCTGTTTACAAGCCCAGTAGCGAGAAACTGTTTTGATTGGTTGTTTCGGAAATGTGGTGTGTTTGAGGAAATGAGAAAAATAGGTTTCATGGTGCAGTCACGCACTTCCTGGTCAAAAAAACGTTCTCTAAATGTGCATATTATGGCAAAAATTATTCATCATTAAATCTGGTTTTAACATTACTTTTATAAAGTTTGAAGTCCATGATGTCCAATCCAGCTCACTGTTTTTTTACATAAGTCCTGTGAAAGCATCACAGCTTTGCCGATCTCAGAGTGTTAAAAGAAAAAAAATTCCTGTATCCSCATCGTGATCYGGAACATCATGAAAATTTAAAGGTGTATTCCTAGGCCCAGTAACCACAAGCGGAAAAAATGTTATGACAATCCGTCCACAAGTTTTTGAATAACGTCCACAGACAGACAGACAGACAGACAGACAGACAGACAGACAGACAGACAGACAGACAGACAGACAGACAGACATTACCTCGCCCTTGGCGGAGGTAATTATGCCGGGTTCACACGGCAAGATAACTGTGCCCTTCCAACAATCTTAAGGATGCTGAGCTTGCACGCTGATTATGGTGATGGCTCTAAAGATAATCTCAGATATTCCTGACGTGTGTTAAAAGTGAATTAGTCCACTTGGAAGTACGTCTGGACCGCCCCCACCTAAAATCTGGGATATTCAACATGTTGGATCGTCTTGGCCTGATATCCCAGCATGTGTGGAGTTCCCCTGAGGATGAACGAGCTAACAGTCTGGAATATGATGTGTAGCCAATCAGAAAGTGAAGAGACGGAAACACGGAGGGGAATCCAAAAATACAGAAGACAGAACGTTGAGACGTCTTATTGTTTTGCTGTTTCTCTGTTAAAAAACAGTCCACAAACCGTCGCCGTTGCTTCTTCCCCGTCGGCCATGTTTATTTACTCTGAACTCACGTTTGATCTYGAGAGATCTCACGAGATTTCCAATCTGACATCCGAAGGTTAAGTGTGTGAAATCTGTTCATGTGTGGTGTTGTATGTGGCTGTGCACCACACACTTGACAGTGAGTGGGGTCTCARTCTTTGAAAACCAGCCCACCAATTTAAAATCATGCTTTGTGAAATGTACAAAATACAGGAAAATTTAAAAATAAAAATACACAAATGTATTTTCTTGTCTTACGATATTGCAACATTTGACAAGAGAGAGAAACAAAAGAGAGAGGGAGGAGGAAAGTGCGACAAAAGCAGAGGTTCTTCTCACCTTTACCTGGTCTGTAGGGTTTCGACTGGCTGACCGTCATGTGAGGCATCTGGACCTGGTACACAGCTGGAGACTGAGGGAGTGAGGGTGGCAAAGGGAAGGAAAAAAAATCAATTTAACCTCAAGGTTTTAAAACAACAACACATATCTCTAAATAAAACTAGACAAAGTTGTCCTCATCAACTGTTAACACTTGTTCGACAGTTAGGCACTCACTTAACACCCAACATGATAAACTTCTAATCATTTCTTACCTGGGGCCACATGCATTTTCTGTCTACTGTGGTGTTAAAAACAACTCTAAAATTCTAATCAGTTTTATGTTTTCCTCACTTATTCAACATGCATTTTGATTACAAAGTGTAGTGCAGCAAAAAGGGAGCTAAAAACTTCTCKCTAAGACTAATTTATTTGGTAAATATAATAAAAAAACAACAGAAATATGATGTTAAAAATATCCATCTGGGATGGCAGTTTCAGATGAATTGCAATAAGAAGTTGGCAAACCAACATCTGATAGCATTATTTCAACAAGCAAGCAGAACATCTCAGTACTGATTGGGCTTAAAAAAATAAACAAAAACAAGGATTGAAAAAAACAAAACAAAAAAAGGGTAGAAATCTTAGAAAAATTCACAAACCTTCCATATTATGCTTTTCTAATGGAGCAAGAGAGAGGAGGAGGAGGAGGAGGGGGAGAAAAGGGAAAAAGAACCACTTTTTAGTTGTTATTGTTTGCATGTGTCTGATGTTGGATCACCAAGTTTTTCTTAAAGCAACACAGGATATATAACGTTACATAAACAAGCATGACATTCATTAAAAGGATGTAAAGTATTTTAAAAAGGTGCTTTGASAATATGTCACAGTACAAACATCTTATGTATTTCCTCTCATTSTAATCATTCTTCTTGTCCCAAAATCTCTTTATAAACCAGGATAAATGCTGTAAGCAGGGGTTTCTATACGATAAACTGAGATGARTTAAAAAAGGAGGAAAAAAGACAAATGGGGTATTTGGATTGAATAGAAATGATTGCATTTTTCCTCCTGTGTAGCACGTCTTAGTGAGCAGGTTTGTGTCTCACCTGCACTCCGGGGCTGACCGGGGTCAGCGGGTACATCTGAGGGAAGCAGACTGTTTGGCCGTACACAGCCTGAGGCTGCTGAACCACGATGGAGGGGCTGGGCTGGCCCTGAGGCCGAGGAGGCGTCGGGGTGTTGGCTGGTTTAGGCTGATCGGGAGGTAAACAAACAAACCGACACAGATATAAAAACAAAGCAAGCCTGATCTGTTTGGTACTGAACTCTCCTGTAATACTGACCTGTGTATTAAACCTGGGTTTGAACTCATTAGCATTTGGGTTCAGGGTGGATTTTCTTACTTGACTAAAGAAAGTGAACAAAACAAAGAAATTAACATTTTAAGGATCAACCTTAAGTAATTCTTTGAACTATTTTTCATTATAAATACATGTTTTTGTTTTGGTATTTTACAGAAATAAGGTTCTGCAGGAGAAATACCACTTTAGTGTTTCCAACTAATTTATAACAAAACATCAAACTTGAGTCTCCATTCCACTCACTCTTGTACTGCTTCCTTTTTCTCCTCCTTTTCTTCGTGCTTGGCTCCGCTGAACCTCGACATGGTTGTTGTCTGAACTCCTTGTGAGGTCACGTCCAGCCCGGACCTCTTCTGGTCCGGAGCTGAGGGAGATGGAGACAGAGCAGCAGGGCTGCCAGGCTTACTGGTGTTTGTGGATGTACTGGAAGGAGCAGGAGGAACGGCGGACGTGCCAGCAGGAAGAACTACACAACTTTCTGCACTGTCCCGTCCCACTGCGGAGGCTTTGTCCAGGRGAAGATCTTTTGGTTTGTCTGCAGGGTCTCTGGGAGGCTTGGTCATCATCTGCTCGAAGGCAGCGTCTGCRTTTGAACTGGGCTGCAACTGAAAGAGGCGGAACCCGTGAGGTTTGTTTTGCTAGTATTTTAGCTTTTTGACCATGTGACAAACAGGTACTTACTCTAAAATCTTCACTAAACTTCTTCAAATTATCTATTTGTTTTCTGTGGTCTGGTGCCATAGGAGGTCCTGTAAGCAGAGAGAAAAGGATTTAAATTATAAAAATACGGTCCAAATTATTAAATAGTGACAACTGACATCTCTTAAGTCCTAATTATCAAGTTTCATGATACTATAAAGTTTAATTTTTAAATTAAATACTGTACCTTTACACACTCCTCTTGTAACACTAGGTGAGCTGTCCAAAGGCTTGATGACCTCACTGTTTGTTGATGGGGAGGACTGTCTTGCCTCTTGGACACGACATTCTTTTCCTATAAAAATAAACAAAATAAATTAAAATAAAACTTTTTGCWCATTCAAAGCCCAAAAGCAAAGATTTCAGAATAGCTCCTATAAGGCACAGAAGCATTAAACTTTAAGTTAAATCTATATTTTATGATTTCTACTTGTTTCCTGTAAGAATGTAAAAGGATCTAACCCACCATGATCTCCTGGTGGAGAGGCGACCATGTTGGGGGYGGGGCTAGCAGCAGTAGGAGAAGCAGCTGATGTCCGTGTTGTAACAGTTTCCACAGGAGCTGGTCCTGTTTGGGGTGAAGAGAGGGAGGAAGACCCAGGGGAAGCTCCGCCCATGCTGTTCTGTCGCGGGGAGCGAGGTCTGTGAGCTGAGGAGGAGGAGAAACTAGTTTACTTATCGTCCTGATGCATCTCAGTAATCCAGGTAAAAAAATCAAAGGAAAAAAAATTGTATAGGTCCTCTGGACGGGTTCTTCTTTAATGAAACGTTTCGTCTCTCTTCCAAGAGACTTCTTCAGTCTGAGAGTTTCAGGCAAAATTCAGGCTTTTGAGTCCTGAGGAAACAAAGCGGCCACTGTTCAAAAGAATGTCCCAACACAGACGAGCTACATCTAATGGCC